CGCCCTTCCCTTCTTGAATTTGGTTCTTCCTACTTCTCAAGCTTTGATTTAGGCTTTATGTTTTCCAGAAAGCCACTGGGTATTTACCTTTAGGCTGGGTCAAGGCATCCCATGCCCAAGAGTTCTCATAGCTCTGGGTGTACCTCTATTGTGGCATTTTGCCAAGATATTGAAATGATCAGCTTGTGTCTAAGAACAGGCTCTAAGTTCCCTAGAAGGCAAGGGTTCTATTTCACCTTCTCAGTTCCCAGAGCCTCATACGGTGACTGTCCCATGGGAAATGCTCTCACATCTTAAAGCTGAAATTCTGAAAGGCCTGGTCCTAGGTCCTTGTCTCTGTCTATACTCACTTGCTTGGTGACCTCACTCAGTCTTGTGCCTTTCACCAGCTACAGGCCAACGACTCCCAAAGGTTTCTCTTCAACCCAGGCTTCTTTCCCAAATTCCAGCTTCAGAGATCCAACTACCTCCTTACCACACGGAGACACTAAGATGTCTTGCCATGGTCATTGCCAACTCAATTTAACATGAAACTGCTGACTGTTCCAGCTCTGCCTTACTTGAGCATCCCCATTTCCACCAGAGGCAGCTCCACCCTACCAGTGGCACAGGCAACAGCCTGGGAGTCACCCTTAATTCCTTCTGTAACATATACCATGTGTTAGGAAATGCTGTTGGCTCCATCTTTCACAGATATTCAGAATCCAACCACTTCTCACCACCGCCTCTGCCACGCCCCGAGTCATCCTTGCCTCTCACCTGGGTTACTACACTGGCCTCTTAACTGGTCTCCTTGCTTTCACCCTTGCCTTCCTAAGTTCCACTCTCAACACAGCAGCTAGAATGAAGTAAGGCCAGATCATGAGCACTTGTCTTTTCAAAACTCTGCAGTGGCTTTCCATTTTAGTCAGTGTAAAAGCTGAAGTCCTTACAACAGCTTGTAATGCATGGCACGGTCACGGCCCTCTTTATTTCTCCAGTCGAATCTCCGATTACTTCCACCCCTCGCTCACTCTACCTCTGCCACCCTGGCCTCTTTGCAGCTGCTTGTATGTGCCAGGCACATTCCTCTCTAGATCTGGAACTCTCTTCCTCCAGATATCTTCCACCATGTCTATATTCAAATTTCATCTTCTAATGAAGGACTACCCTTTTACCCTATTTACTATTAGAACCTCCTCTACTTTAGATCCCTGGAACACATCTCCCTTCCTTGCTCTACTCTTGCTTTTTCCGTGGTAATTTTGACAGACTGTATTATCCAAAGATTTTATTTTTCAATATTTCTTGCTCTGCAGGCTCCTCTAGAACCTGGCAGCTGCCCCTCCTCATCAAGGGATAGAGTCAAATTCTCCTCTCCTAGAATATGGGGTGTTTTTACTTGTTTACAACCAATAGTACATTGAGAAATAATACAGTGTTACACCCGAGTTTAGGTCACAAAGGTGATGCACTTTTCACCTTGTTATCTGGGGGGCCCACCTTTGGAGCGCTGAGCCACCATGGAAATACTCCAACTATCCCAAGGCTACCATGCTGTGAAGAAGCCGAGGCCACCTGAAGAGGCCATGTGTAGGTCTTCCAGCGGACAATTCCAACTGAAAGCCTGTATCAGTCACTAGACAAGAGTGAAGACATGTTTAGACAATTTCAGCCCCCAGACTTGAAGACTTCCTAGCCAAGGCTCTGGACACTGTGTGGAAGAGACAGGTTGTCCCTGTTGTACACTGCACAAATTCCTGACCCACAGAATCAGTAAGTGCAAGATATTGGTTATTTTATGTTGTTAAGATTTGGTGTGGTTTGTAACACAGCAAATGGTATTTTTTACTGTCTTGCATACTACATTATATAATTTGCTTACTTTTAAGCTTATGTTTATTTCCTATTTCGCTTGCTAGAATACAAGCTTCAGGAGTGCAAAATTCTTTGTTTTCTTCATTGTTGTATCCCAAATACCTAGAATCATCCTTGGCAATAGTAAATAGTAAAGATGTATACATATATTTTTGAGACCAACTTTCGCTCTTGTTGCCCAGGCTGGAGGGCAATGGCGCGATCTCTGCTCACCACAACCTCTGCCTCTTGGGTTCAAGTGATCCTCCTGCCTCAGCCTCCCGAGTAGCTAGGATTACAGGCATGTGCCACCACGCTTTGCTAATTTTTTTTTTTTCTGTATTTTTTTTTTTTTTTTTTAGTAGATACAGGATTTCTCCATGTTGGTCAGGTGGGTCTCGAACTCCCGACCCCTCAAAGTGCTGGGATTACAGGCATGAGCCACTGTGCCCGGCCAGTAAATAACAAATATTTACTGAGAAAATTTTAAGTGATTGTTCAACTGAATTGAATTTTGTCTTCTGACACAGCTTGCTATGGCTGAGCTGTCCCTTAGATGTCAACTTGTCAAACCCACTCATTTGCATGAAAAAAGTGAACAGAAGAGAGCAGTGACAGGCAACAAACAGCATGTAGCAGGTTGGTATGAGAGTAGGCCTGGAGGCTCAGGAGTCTTATACGTGCAATAGGACACTGATTCTCCCAGCAGATCTGTGACTTTTATGCTCAGGATGCAGATTCTAGATATCACAGGAGCCTTGATGATTAAAGTAATACCCAGCTATATTCTGGACGGACACTGTGGGCTAGCACATTGTAAAATGACTTTTATCAGGCAAAATTTTCCAATTAACCCTCAGCTAATCAGAAAATAATGCTAACTAGAAGCTAAGCTTTACAGCTTGCTGATTAATATAATTTGAACTAATTGAGGCCACGGCTAGCTTAGTTAGATTTCTGGTTGTAGTTCAAATGATGAAATGACATGTATTGTTTGTTTTCTCATTATAAAAGCTGTTCATTTCCATGCTAGAAAGTTTGGAAAATGCAAAAGTATACGAAGAAGAAATTTTAAATACCAACTCATCACACAGGGATGAATGCTTTAAAAGAAATATTAGTCTGGAAGGAAATGCATGAAAGTTGTCAAACACATTTGTAATTCTGTCTTCAAATGTCAGATTGCAAGTTCTTACATATGTGTTTCTCAGCATTTGGCTGCTTGTCCTTTTTGGTTTTTTTTGGTAAGCCACAGATCTCCCTTAATGATATTTGAAACTTTTAATTAAATTGTTATGACTAATGTGGAATATACTCTTCCAAATAACATAAGCTTCCTGACATTTGCTCAACAAACAGGCTTACATACACACACACAAAGCACGCTCACATGCACCCTGCTCCCCAGGGACTGGGGCCTTTCAGCCCCCTAGGAAATGAGACCCAGGGATGGGAGGGGACGAAATCATGTTCTTCAGCTCTAATTCAAACATTCTTTCAAGATTTGTAGATGAGAATATGAAAAATGCTATTTTACTTAGACCATATTTGAAACTAAGTTCTTGTTCTCCCAAGCTGGTAATTACTCACATCCATTGATATAAACTTTTTTTCCCATAAATATGTCAAACATGCCCCTTGTCATCATGTTTTACACTCTCATAAAGTTTTAGGACCAGATAGGTCCTGAGAAATCACCTTATCCAAATTCTTCATTCAACTAATAAAGAATTTTAAAACTTAGAGAGCAACATTCTAAAATCAAACAGCTTACTACATTGGAATCCAGCTGTCTGGATCCCCAGTTTAGCACAATTTCATGACCTCATACGACTTCAGAAATATTGCTTTGTATGCTCTTTCTCAGAATATAGTCTGAGGGATAAACTTAGTCTGCGATATTAAGCATTCCAAATGCGTGGACTCTGAGCCAATGAGTTTTCTACTGCACAGTGACAGTGAATCGAGCATATCTGGGGCACACGCTCCATGTAAAGAGGAAAGAACAAACAACAAAAATCCACAAATGCATACAATTCAGAGCGTGGTACACAGAAGATACTCAAAAGATATTTTAGGAAGGAAGGAGGGAAGGGAAAGAGAGGAAAGGAAAAGTGAAGAAAGGAACTCTTGTTTTCAAAGCTGGCTGCAGCTGGATTCTACCTGCAACTAGGAGAGCTGCAGAATTATTCTTGGAGAGTGAGCTGCTCTTTGGTTCAGAAAAATGTCTTAATGCATTTTCTTTCTATTTTATTTTGCTTTTTGCTTGTAAAAGGTGAGGCCTAATGGGCAGGATTTGAAACAAAGAGTGAGATAAAGAAAGCTCAATTGTTCTACAAAATAAAAGAGGAATGTGGGGCCCTTTGTCTGTATGCTGGGGGAGGGGTGGAGGAAGTTTTGAGGACACTACAGAAAACACTGGGGAGAAATTGGATAGAGACCTGTCAGGAGACCAGAACCTTAGAAGGGCTTACTAGCAATGTAGATGGTTAAGGAATTTATAAGAAGAACAGTATCGCATTGAGGCACTTCCTGTACTTTGCTGCAACCCTTCTCTGTTATTCCCTAAACCTTGGTAACAAGCCCTACCCGCAAATCCTTTGTGTTAGAGATACTTTGGGGAGGTGGGAAAGGGATGCCCAATGCAGAAGTGAAGAGAAGGTGCAGAAACAGAAAACTGGTCACTGGAGATAAAGCATTGCCTTCGGGGAGTGGGAGCAGGGACAAGAATATCACAGAAGGTTGAGTAGGAGACAAGAGGTGACCAACAGCAAGCAGGGGAGATTTGCTGGCTTTTCTACAGCATGTGGGATGGGAGCCTGAGCCATTTTCTGTCATAATGAATGGAGGTGAGGCTCCAAAGTGTAGAACCTTTGGAGCTAACTGGATAATGAAAGGGGAAGGGGAGAGAAACAACAGTGAAAAAGGATGTCTTAGAATTATTTAGCATGGTGCTTCTCAGATTTAATGTGTACACAAATCACCTAGTTTCTGGTTAAAATGTAGGTTCTGATTCAGTAGGGCAGGGTGGGGCCTGAGATCCTGCATTTCCCATACGTTCCAGGGGATACTGATGCTGCTGGCCAGGGAGCCATACTTTTTGTAGCAAGGCTTTGGTGCCCAAATAAACAATTGGAAAGTTTCCCCACAGGCTGGTCTCTTACCTCATATTCCTCCTTGAACCCGTAGCCCTGGCCTCTCTTCATCTGTGTGATGTGCTGCAGCAAGTCAGCCACCCGGATGGCAGGCTGGAACTGGTCCCGGGGGTAACTCATCTCCACAGGGTCACAGGCGCGGTAGGGATGAGTCTGGATCGTGAGGGTGGGCTGGGAAAGCTCCCCGCGGCTGCCATCTGCTTCGAAAAGAAGGAGGCAGAGCAGATCATCACCTACAGAAGCTTTGTCCTTCGTTCTCCCTGTCTCCCCCAGCTTGGCCTGAGGACCTCACAGGGAACCAACTTGGGACTCATGTGATCAAGAAACTGCAGAAAGACTGGAGATACACTGCTTCCCTGGCATGGCTATGTTGGTAGATCTAAATATGAAACCCACAAACAAACCAATGAACACAATACATTTCAAGGGTACCCATTGATAAAGGAGAAGTTCCAGTTTGGTCGTCATCCCTGTCACAGACCTTCCTTTAGGCTGGGTGGGCAGAACCACTGAGAAGCTAGGCATGCTATTTATTGGGAGCCCCCTTCTGCTTAGGAAGCAGAGAGGCTGGAAATAGTGTCTGATGCCTGTGTGCAGGGGAGGAGAGCCTCAGGTGCTCGAAGATTGGAGTCACATGTATGCTTCCGATCCATTTGCCTGCATCCCTGTGACCTGGCTTTTCTACTCTTTTGTTTCCTTTGCGTTTTACCCTGGGAGGAACTGGAGCTAGTCTTGGACCGCCAGCAGCTAGCAGGGACCCTTACCCTCCCAGCTGCTCTCTCTAGTTATGAGCTCTGCCACAGCGACCGCCTTCTTGCTATTGTATACTTTCCCCACCACTTAATACTATTAATCCAGTGGCATCGTTGAACCACCTTGCAGGTAAGGAAGCCTGGACCTCTTCCTTCAGTGCTGCTGGCTAATTTCCCCAGGCCCCGATCCCACGCCGCATCTCCTTCATCAAATCTCTCCCTGATGTAAAGTCTATATATTCTCTCTTGATAAAAACATTTTCATCCAATGAGTTGCTTTAACTGCCTTCTGTTATTTGGCCACCCTGGAAACTGATGCCTGCTCAGATTGGTTGGAATTCTTCTGTTCCCCTTGGACCACTGAAACCAATGTCTTGCCCTACCACCTCCCTGCCAGGTATACACTGTGTCGGTCTTTTGGGGCCAGTTTACCTTTCCCAGAAACATCCAGGCTTGGTCTTCCCAACCTCCTCCCAAAGACATGGACAGTCTGTGCCCTGGACCATGCCGTTTGTGGCATGCAAGTGATGAGAGCTGCCAGTGTGGCAGCTGATGTGTCTCCCCCAGATGTTTTCAGACACTGTGAAGCACCAGTGCAGAAACACGCTCGGCCTGTGCCACACTCACTCCCTGGGAGGCTTAGCGTATGTTCCTGATTTTCTGCAACTTGTCTTTTCAAAATCCATGTTCCCTTCAGCTTGTATGCCTGTCATGTTGCAATAATCCATCAGACATGGATTCTGTGTGTGAATGCACAGTCTACTTCCTTGCAACAGCATCAGCAAGCCTGTTCCTGGCAAGGAAAGAAGAATGGAAGGGAACATCTGGCCTTTTTGCTTTCTAGGTGACCAACTCGTCCCAGTTCAACTGACAATTTTCCGGTTTTAGCACTGAAAGTTCAGCTCTTGGGAAACCTCTCAGTCACAGGCAAACGGGAATGGTTGGTCACCCTGATACTTTCACTTATATCTGTGGAGTAGGGAATACATTTTTCACTTTGCAGCCTTCTGCCTGCCCCCACCTACTGGCTCCTCCAAGGGAGGAGAGGCTACTAATCTGACTGGTCTGACCTTGAGACACTGATTGGGTCATACCTAATTAGTAGGTGGGGTCATCATATGCACAGCGTGGCCTCTAAAACTTCCTGAGTCTGGGTGGTAGGTAAACACCCCCAAAGCAGAGACTATCATTTGGGGACCAGCCAAATAACCCCTGGATTGCCTACAGAAGGATTTGTAAGATTCAGATTTATGCACAAGGAAGAAGGGGTTGGCAAGTTGTTAGCAAAACCTTCCTGACTGCCCAGAAGAGAAATACTGCTTACTTTTTCTTCTGAGATTTTAGGTAATAGATAGTACATGTCCAATGGCATTGCTTAAATGCACCACTTCGCAAATATGGGGGCTGTTTCCTTTCTCCATCACCCCCTTGGGTTCATGAGTTAGACTTATTGAGAACCCACACTATGCCAAGGACTATGGTAGCAGTGGCAATGCAGACAGAAATACTGATTCCACCCTCAAGGCTTGATGGTCTAGCAGGGAAATAGACAAGAAGAACCAACTGAAGAAAAAAGATGGAGCCTGAGAACATTTAGGTAAGAGCAAGGAGGCTGATAAGGAGTAAAAGCTGTGGGTACATTGAGATACCATCTCACGCCAGTTAGAATGGCGATCTTTTAAAAATCTGGAGACAACAGATGCTGGAGAGGATGTAGAGAAATAGGAACACTTTTACGCCGTTGGTGGAAGTGTAAATTAGTTCAACCATTGTGGAAGACAGTGTGGTGATTCCTCAAGGATCTAGAAATAGAAATTCCATTTGACCCAGCAATCCCATTACTGGGTATATACCCAAAGGACTATAAATTGTTCTATTATAAAGATATGCACACGTATGTTCATCATGGCACTGTTTACAATAGCAAAGACCTGGAACCAACCCAAATGCCCATCAATGATAGACTGGAAAAAGAAAATGTGGCACATATACACAATGAAATACTATGCAGCCATAAAAAACGATGAGTCTGTGTCCTTTGTAGAGACATGGATGAATCTGGAAGCCATCATTCTCATCAAATTGACATAAGAACAGAAAATCAAACATCGCACATTCTCACTCATAGGTGGGTGTTGAACAATGAGAAAATGTGGACACAGGGAGGGGAGCATCATATACTGGGGTCTGTTGCGGGGGCTAGGGGAGGGACAGTGGGGGGTGGGGAGCGTAAGGAGGGATAACATGGGGAGAAATGCCAGGTATAGGTGATGGGGGGGATGGAGGCCACAAACCACCTTGCCATGTATATACCTATGCAACAACTCTGCATGATCTACACATGTACCCCAGAACCTAAAGTGCAATTTTAAAAAAAGCTGTAGGTAGAAATGTCAGGGGGGGCAACACTGTAAGCAATGATACAAGGCAGATCCAGAAAGACTGTGAATGTGCAAGACTCTTGAAGCCAGTGTGAAGATGCTGAAGGATTTTAGAAGGAATCTCCTTCTTCAAAGCCTCACACTGTTTCTTGCAGGTGTCCTAACTGTCATGGGTAGCTGTCATGGAAGGCATCCTTCCAGCTAATATCACTCCTGTGATGGCGTGATTTGGAAATGGAGATGAAAGGAGCACTTGTATTTGATTCATCTAGAGATGGTACGAAGCTATGGCAGGAGCCACAGAGGTGTGGATCGTGAAAACCTACAGCTTGGAGTCATGCCATGCTCCATGGTTTCTAGGAAAGGACGAGCCGAGTCAGTGCTAGGAGACCTGTGAGTATTTTCTACTAAAGCTACCATCACACATGGGGAAAGATGTCTTCAGAGACCTACAGTTTCCCAGAGGAACCTGGAGCATGGGCTACATGGGAAACCAGCTGTCTGGGAAAGACAGGCTTCCTAGGAATGGGAACTTGGATTTGTGTGTGTGTGAGAGATGTCAAATGTTTCCAAAACCAAATAGCTGTCAATATGGATATTTTCCCTAAACACATTGCTAGACAGACTGTAAACTTGGTGTCAGCAAAACCAACACTGGAATGGAAAACAAATGCATTTGAAATTTAACAACTTGTATTGCTGTAACATTTGCAGTAATGTCAATGCCAGTGCTAATGATGGTATAAAGACTCAGAACCAAGGGATTTTCAAGGTTTATTAATCCAATGAGTTGGACTCCCCTTTCCAATGTATCTTACCTCACCTATTCCCTTATTAACCTCTGTTAATGCAGAAGTGATGTCTTTTATCACACCCCATTTCACCAGACGCACTATACTTAATTTTCCATCATTAGGTTTAATGAAAACCCAATTTCACAACTCACTTCTCTCAGGAACCTACAAGTAATGCTACGTTTTTATCAGGCCCAATTAAAAAACGTTATGATGTTCCTATTCGAGAGGGAGCCTTAAAACTAATGTGCGATTCTGCTGCTAATTCAACAAGGGCACTGGAATTCACATGCTGCTCATAAAATGTAACTCACACCAGCTGGCCCAGGGACAGAGCCTTTTTCATGTTTTCTCTTCACCATCCCCTTCATTCTCATGCCATTTCAACTTCTCATTTATGGGTCTGGTGTGTTTATTTATCACGTAATAATATTTTGGATTTCTTTTACACTTTTTATCTAGCTGTTGCCTAGCCCTGTGCATTCCCCTGCAGTAACTCTTGTTACTGCCTACGAAGGGCTTGCAGGATGGGCAGAAGGATTTTGGTGATGTGTGAGATTTTGGGCCGCTGTCTCTCAGATTTCTTCTTTGCTGTGTCTCTGCTTTCCCTCCTCTTCCTTAGGATCCTAGATTAATCGCCACCCTGCTGTCCCGCCCCAACCCCCCACCCCCTGCTACGGGCCATATACATCTCCCTCTGTCTTCAGTCACATGTCTCAAATCACCTGCTAGGAATTACCACTCCAACTGGTCAAGAAATATTTATTGAGTACTTATGCTGTACAGTGCATCATGTTAGATACTGTGATCATATAGGAGGCAGGTATGTTTGGGGAGAAATAAGCAGGCCACAGCCCTTGAAGGAGGGGAGAAGAAAATATAAAGTGTGCGTGAATAAGTCTAACCAAGAGAGGAAGAGATCGGCACCTGGAAGATGGAAGAAGGGTGTGCCATGGGGTTTGGCAATCTGGAAACATTCTCCAGGATTTAGGCATTCATGATCCACCTCTGTGGCTCTTACCATAGCTGTGTACCATCTATATGAGAGCTGTCCAATAGGACTTTCCACAACAAGGAAGCATTCCACATTGATGCTCTGAAATTTGGTGGCAACTAATCACAGGTGGCTACTGAGCATCTGGAAAGTGGCTAACGAGACCGAGGAACTGAATTTTAAATTTTGTTTAATTAATTTAAATGGAAATATCTATACTATATTGAGCAGTGCAGATATACAGAAAGAGACAGGGAAAGGAAGATCGTTCTAGAGTCA